AACTTCGCAGCTCTTCAACTTCTTGCTTCATTAAGGCTTCCGACTGCGGACTTGCCGCCATTGACGCTCTGTTCAGAGTCTCCAAAACGTTATTCAGGAGATACTGTCCTTCGGTCAACTTAGTTGACAAAATCTGGAAAAGATTGTACATTGCAAGCTGTAAAAAACGGCAAAAAATTCCATATTTTTCACCAACCCTCAAAGTTTCGAGTCGGTCTTGGACATCAGCTTCAGATCCAACACACGACGAGCAATCATCAACGGTTCCTTTTGCTCGATCCAACCACTTTTCCATATCTTGTTTAGACCGATTGTACTCATTAACGTCGCTCAATTGCTTCTCCGCTTTGCTAACTTGACTCTGCAATAAAAAGGTATTTCATTTCGCATTATGAATTTATTCTCTGAACCACTTCTGAAAATTTTCAAGAAAAGATGTTCGATGAAAGTTACCTGAAGTTTTGATAGCAATTGGGTGAACTGTCCTTGGAGTTGAACAGTTTGGTCCCTGACGTAATTTTGTGCTGAATATTCCATGAGAATCTCACACTTGTCACTCAGCTCTTCCACGGTCCCTTTCTTCAACTGAATTTCTTCCAAGAATTCCTGCGGAGAAAAAGCATATTTTTAAAGCAGAAAACAGGTATACTATAAAAGCGTGTAGAGATTAAACTGACACAAGTCTATAAATGTGCGTCTCAAAAACTATTATTTACGGAGGAAATTGACGAAAAATTGAATGATGGTGAATATTTCAACCAAGGATTCTGAGTTGTTCCATGTATGCTACGGTCTGATCCTCTTTAAAACATTCAATCGTACAATTCACCCAATCAAATGGATTTTTACAGATTCAACAGCTATTCCTTGGCTCCTCTGATCGGCATTTTTCAAAGAATCTGAATCCTCAGTCATCACAAGTAATCAAGGTTTCGCATCGTCACAGTTCACAGAATTGTCAAATAAAATGGCTACAAGAAAACAGTGTCCTCAACAGATAATCTAGCTTTTTTATTTTCGTTATTGTTCCCAATGAAACTGTCAGAAAAACGTAGTACAGTACTGTAATTTAAAATATGCATTTGAATCTGATGGGTTGACGGTACATGAAGTTTTTTATAACATACCTTCGCTTTACAAACAATATCATGGTGCGCAGGACGAGGTAAAGGCTCATCCAAGGTGACGAAACCCAGTCCAGCTTTTTCGAGGTCGGACCTAAGAGTCTTCAACCAGCCTTCGCAAGCCGAGTAGGACTTGTCAAAGTCACTCCAGGCTTGCAAACACTTGCTGAGATTTCGTTTGGCATCGTCCACCATATTGTAGATGGAGTCCCATTCATGCTTCAAGTGCTCAACTTCACTTTTGATACTTTCGACCCCTTCGTCATTGCTGGACATCATGACCGGAGCACTGCGTTCTGCAGCAGCTTTTACCAGTTTCTCGCCTTGAAAAAATACATCAATGTACACGTTGAATACATGAATACAGTATAGGAACTAATTATGCAAACAATTATTCAAAATAACTCTGACTCCTCCTCCAAAATTTATTAGTACCTTCAGGGAGAGAAACTGAAATCTCATTGACTTTTTCCTTGCGTTCTTCGGCAGAGGCTTTAGGTCCATGGCAATCGCCAGCTTGTTGAATATCAACTCGAGCTTTCCGCAACCAATCACAAGCTTCTGAGCACGCTGCCCAATAGGCTTCATGATTTTTCACTTCCCCTTCGAGCACCTAATATGGTTTCATTAAAAAAATGATAATAAATATGAAGCACCGAGCCTTATCATCTGATTGTGATGAACTCACCTCAATCTGGCTGTTTATGACACTCTTGATGTCATCGTGCTTTTGCACGCAGGCCTTTAGCTCTTCGTCAGCCGAATCTTTGCCATCATCACTTCGCATCGCAATGATCTTGGACAGAGCATCGGCTCTGCCTTCCATCTCACGCTTCAAGGTTCTGTATTTCTCTAGGAATGAGCGACGTTCGCTGATCTCACTGCTCTTTGAACTGGGTTCGGCGTTAGCCTTTGCCTCGATCTCTTGGAGCCATTCCATAAACGCTTTCACGACCTGAAAAAGGATATCATGATTTTCTCGGAGATGGAACTAATACTTCCATCAACACAGCCCATGGCTAATTTGACGATACCCTTTGCCACCAAATTCTCAGGGGAATTTTTCGAAAATACGTCCAAAAAGCTGACCGTCAACAAAAATGTTATCAACGATGAAATTCTGCTTTCAAAACTTTTTTGCATAGCCAAGAAAAATTAAATAAACTCAAATCAATAGCTCCTCTACGATGAAATTTCTGTGGATATGTAGAGCATTTTTTCGGTTCCCTTCTACGTATCAATGAGAAATTTCTCAAAAAATCCAGGGAGAGTTATTTCACAATTTATTGTTTAGTGAAAAGGCTTTCGCATTTATTATTCAGCATCCTAATCAATGCAAATTGAGATTTTTTGGATGACACGAAACTTTCAAAAAATTCCCATTTCGGATCACATTAGGTAAGCATATAAAAGAAGACTCGAACACCTAAAACACATATTCAATAATTTCAAACGATGTTTCACACAGAAAAAAAATTGTAACTGGCGAAGCCTGATTGCTCGTTTTTGCTTTTCCGGTAACGGCAATTGCTTTCGAAGTCTGTGAACATACACCTTCTTGATTTTCTTTTAAGTTATGGAAAACAGCAATGACGTATATACAGTACATATTGATTTTCTGAACATGATAAATGTCTTGGGCGACGTTTTCTCTTCCTGGTTTTCTCTGCTTTTTTTTTTCAGGTGCCACGTATACAAAAACTCAAGGAAAAATGCATGGAGAATGAATCATCCTTCAATCTAAAAATGAAATACCTTGGCTTTTTCTTGCAGTTGACCAAGTCTTGAATTGATGTTTTGTCGAGCTTCTTGCATGTCCATGAAAAGCTTATCGAACTCGGTTTTGAGGCCCTCAGTTCCTTCTATGATTTTGTTCGCCCCTTTTTCTTTGGTGTTGATGATCACTCGTTCTTTAAGCTCCAACACATACCTAAGGAAGTTATAAAATTGCGTTGAACTGCTCACGATAAACCCGATATTTTCAATGTTACCGGAGTTTGTGCTGGCCTTGTTCCATGGAATCTTTGAGCTCCTGTAGAATTCCCAAACGATCCTGGAGATCAGAATCACTTATCAAGACGTCAGTTTCAGAAGCAGGAGGTGTTTGAGCAGATTTTAGCTTATCCTGGGCAGCTTCCAGCCATTCTTCGCACTCCGAAAACATTGCTTGGTGTTGCTGGTGTTCCTACAAAAATCAAGGAAAATTCGTTTAAAAAATGCATCACATCACAAACATCCCACTTCACGAAGTTTGAAACTTTTGTCAGAATAGCAGGAAATTCGAAAATTCAGAAAAATATTTCGGCATCTTTTTTTAAATCACAGTGATCATATGGCTAATTTGACGAACCTGATAATGCATTTCCAACCGTCGCATGACTTCTTTAGCCATAGAAAGAAGCGTGTTGTATTTTGTGGTTAGCTGAGTAACGGCATTCGAGATTCTCGAATCAGCACAAGTTTCCAGTAACGTTTGTGCCTGGTTGTTGAGGACGTCAAGTTCTTTTTGCCAATCAAAAATTGATTCCAGATGATTCTAAAAAATTAAAAAACGCACCAAAACGATTACAGAAATTCGTGTGATACACTATGACCGTTATCACTCAAACCTGGAATTCTTCCAGAACTTTTCGCTTTTCCTCTAGTGTATCAACATGTCCGTTGTACGATTGAACCTGCGCTTCTGTTTTGGTCAACCATGAGCAGCATTCCTTGTGCTGATCTTCATATTCTCCCCACTTCGACAAACCAATTTCTAATACGGTTTTGGTTTTCGCCAACTCCGCACTGCAAAATAAAATTTAAGGCGAAACTTTATAGAAGTTGAAACTGGAAAAAGATAAACACAATTTTACTCACCAGTGATGATCAAATTCGTCTTGCAAAATAGCAACTTCTTGCTCCAGGGCTTCTCGGTCGTCTTCAACTTCTATCACTTTAATAGCACCTTCTGCCAATCTTAAGGGTAGCTCAAGAAGTTTTTGTCCGTCTGCCTTATCCACGTCTAAAACCTGAAAAGATATGAAATGCATCACCAAAAATCTATTCCGATTTTTAAACTTTTGAACGACCTACTTTCAGCAATGCGATTTTGGTACTCAATGATTCTTTGTCCCCAATCGGTTCGGCACATTTCGTAAGTTTCTCCCGAGAAATTTTCAGCCAGTTCAAGAAGTTGTTCGCAGCATCGATGAATTTCTGAAATAGAAAATACTGGAATTAACCACAAGTCCATGTTTTCGATTTTGAAGCTTCCTTGATGAAGAAAATATGTTCTGAAATTCAACTATATTTAGTTAGAAATTAGCATGTAAAGTGGTCTGTTTAAGTACCGGTGCCTAATTACTGCGGCATTCTGAAAAATTACGATATACGATTTTCGAATGCAAGACAAAACGTTTCTGATGGAGATTTGATTGAATATTTTCAAACTAGATTGATAATTTCAAAAATGCTCACCTGCTCGAATTCAATGGTTTCTTTTTGACGTTCGTATATTTTTTGAGCTTGCTGACTCAAGGTTTCGTATTTCGAGGAAATTTCCGATGCAGCATTTTTCCCGGATTTAACATCACTGGCTTTACAAGCAACCGATTCGATCATGGGTGCGAATGAAGCAATATCTTGCAAAAAGCTGTTACAGCGTCTCAGAGATGCTCTTCGTTCACCAATGCTGGATGAAAGGGATCCGAGTCCATGAGTTGTTTGGGGACCCTTCTTGGCGAAGTGCACCTTGAAAACAAACAACAAAACAACACGATATTCAACATTGTTGAAAAATCGCTTGAATGCGGATAAAGCTAGAACGTTATTATGGAATTCATATCCTGAAACATTTCAAGACAAACACTACAAAAACCGACGATATACAATTTAATATCACCAACAATTTCCGCAAGTATTTTTAGCGGTCAAGCAAAACCAGCAATCTAATTAAAAGTTTTTTTTCGGCGCACATACCTTTTTCTTTGAAAGTTTTTCTAGTGTTGTTTCCTTCTCGGAAATCCACTTCTCCAATTGAGAGAATGAAGAAGTATAATCAGCCCATTGCAACAAAGCAGTCTCAACTTGAACCTGAAAAAATCAGAAGATTGAAATTTTTTTCCTAAAAATAATTAGCAGGGAACCCTCACCTTAGCATCGGACAGTTTCCTAATTAATCTTTCCCATTCAGATTGTAATTCGGAACATCTAATCGAAATGGCATCTTTGCCATCGGACCTTGTGGACATGATTGCTTTTTCTCCCCAGTTGACAGCAGCATGAACCAGACTGGCTCCTTCATCTTGATTCTTGATCATTTTCTGAAGGAAAAANATTGTAATTCGGAACATCTAATCGAAATGGCATCTTTGCCATCGGACCTTGTGGACATGATTGCTTTTTCTCCCCAGTTGACAGCAGCATGAACCAGACTGGCTCCTTCATCTTGATTCTTGATCATTTTCTGAAGGAAAAAGGGTCGAAATGCATGAAAAAATTGGTGTAATTCATCATTATTTGGAATTTTATAAAATCAATTTCAACAGCTACAGTCGCTAAATGAGTTTCATTCGAAGCTGATTAAGAAAAGCGGAAAAATAAGGCGATTGATAAATAAGGCGTAAAATAATGCGATTAACTGATTGCTAACTTGAATATCTTGAAGATGCTGCAGCAGGTCTTCTTTGCGACTGGAAGAACTGAGACCCTCTCCGTCCCGGATAACGGCTTTAGCAGCATCTATCCAAGTCATTCCAGCAGCCCGATTGTCTTCCATCTGCTTGTGATGCTGATAGATGGCAGTCACCTTCTGCGAAGTGTCTTTCGCCAGGTTCACTTGAACCTGATAGATCAAAAAAAATTTGTAAAACGCACCATCAGAGATCTTCGAGATGTAGAATGATTCGTCATACCAGTACAAAACTCCGAATTACTTTGATGCCTGAATTAATCTGTTTTGTTTCGTAAAATAATTTTGCAAAGAATCCATTCAGATACCGTCAGGAATCTCTCGTAGAACATTACACTGTACTGCATACGAAAATTTTCGATAATACTGTGTACTTTAACTAGTTCGGTCGGCAAAAATAGGCTCTTTTGTTCTTTGTCATAATAAAAAAAAAAAATTGTCTTCGGACCTGATATCGGGATTGCAAATGCCGCAGTTGCGACTGAATGTAAGAATCCAGATGAGACGACAAGAGAGTTGCTGCGGATGAACTGAGTCGTTGAACTTCATCCTGCCGACTTTCAAGTTCCTCCACTTGCCGCTGCAAATTAATGGACAATGATATCACTCTCGAAAAATACGAGGTTCCTCCTCTGCGCCTTTTAATGGCACTGAAAGTTCATAACGAAAAGAAAAAGCCCATTTAAGCCTTCGTTGTACCATGCTCGTCGAAAGTACAGCCGCAGTCAAACGACGTTGGTCAGCAACTAGGCTTCATACTCGTCCTTGTAACCTCGCATCTGAGAAAGAAGTCCTTCCAGCTCTTTCTTCTGCGCTTCGATTTCTGCAAAAAATTCAAAGATTTTTTGGGGTCATTTCCCAAATATTGTGAGATCAAAGGGATACGAGATTCT